GAACTCCTGACCCCTCCAACCTTCCCCCTTGCTTCTTGTCCCTTGATTTCCCCCCCACCCCAGAACTTCCCTGCCGCTTCTCTGGCCCCCAGCCCCCTTACTGTGCTGCAGAGCAGCGCGCTCGGAAGCGGGGGAGGGGAGCAGGGTCGGAGCTCTAGACAGCGAACGGCCGGCGATCTGTGAATGCAGGGAGGGAGGGGGAGGAGGGGAGTGGTGTCAAGTTTCAGGAGAGAGGAGGGGGAAGTGCAGGAAGGGCTCTGGCTCTGGCTGTCGGAGCCCCGGCTGCTCTGTAAGCCAGGCGCACGCTCTGTATGGGGGGGAGGAGGGGGAGGAGGGGAAGTCCGGACATTGACAAATTCCCCCCGGATGCTATTTTTAACTCGAAAAAGCCGGACATGTCCGGGGGAATCCGGACGAATGGTAACCCTATGTAACAACCTTTTATGTACTTGAAAACGGTTATCATGTTTCAGTCTTCTCTCATAGGTCATGTTTTCTAGACCTTTAATCTTCTTTGTTGCTCTTCTCTGGACTTTCTCCAATTTGTCCACATCTTTCCTGAAATGTGGTGCCCAGAACTGAACACAATACTCCAGTTGAGGCCTAGTTAGCACAGAGTAGAGCGGAAGAATTACTTCTCGTGTCTTGCTTATGACACTCCTGCTAATACATCACAGAATGATGTTCCCTTTTTTTGCAGCAGTGTTACACTGTTGACTCATATTTAGCTTGTGGTCCACTATGACCCGCAGATCCCTTTCCCCACTACTGCTTCCTAGGAAGTCATTTCCTATTTTGTATGCATGCAAATGATTGTTTAGGAAGCTAAATGGAGTACTTTGCATTTGTCCTTATTGAATTTCATCCTATTTATTTCAGACCATTTCTCCAGTTTGTCCAGATCATTTTGAATTTTAACCCTATCCTCTAAAGCACTTGCAACCCCTCCTGCTTGGTATCGTCCACAAACTTTAAAAGTGTACTCTCTATGCCATTATCTAAACCATTGATGAAGATACTGAACAGAAACGTATCCAGAACTGATCCCTGCAGGACCCCTGTAGGACCCTTTCCAGCATGACTGTGAACCACTGATAACTACTCTCTGGGAACGGTTTTTCAACCAGTTTTGCACCCACCTTATTATAACGCCATCTAGGTTGCATTTCCCCTAGTTTATGAGAAGTTCATGCAACACAGTTTTATACCACGTCGACCACTTCCCCCCATCCACAAGGCTTGTTACCCTTGGCGGGGGGAGGAAGGGATAGCTCAGTGGTTTGAGCATTGGCCTGCTAAACCCAGGGTTGTGAGTTCAATCCTTGAGGGGGCCACTTCAGGAACTGGGGTAAAAATCTGTCTGGGGATTGGTCCTGCTTT